TAAATAATATGTACTCAAACAACTATGATACAATGCCATATTAATTAATTAAAAAAATAAAATAATAAGAAAAATGAAAAAAGAAGTAAAAAGACCACATTATGCCTAACCTGACAGTAACCCTTGTTTTGTGTTGTTGACACATGCACTTTAGGAGAATATGAGCAAGAAACAAGTATCTTACCTGATAAGAGCGAAGACCAAGACAAAGAGTCTCACCTGGTAAGTGATGGCGTCGACTCTTGCCACGACTAACATTTATCGGATAAATTGTTGTATATGATGCCATTTTGGTGAACTAAAATCTTATATGATAAGTAAGTGATAATGTTGAATTATGCCGATAAACACTTACCGGATAAGTATTTAAATAAATGGACCTTAATCCAGATATGAAAAGGCAGACAAAGTGAAAATCACAATGACTAAAAAAAAGACAAATTTAAAAACCAGGGACTAAAAAGGCAGTAAACGACAAACCATAAGGATGCTTTTCAACATTATTAAAATGGTAGACTCGACATAATATTTTATCGAGATCATTGTCAAACGAGAGGGAAAAGAGGTCTCCCCTACACCATTCAAACGAAATGAAAATGACTAAATTCTCCCTCCTGCAAATTTCCAAACAAGGCGGCAAACCAGCACCACCGCAACCACCGTAACCGCCATTTCTAGGGTTTACTCCACGAATCACCGGCATATACGCGTTTCGGCGCTAATCCATCAGAAAATTTGACGCATCGTCAGGAACAACAGGTTGGCCGCTACTTTTCTAAATTGGCTATTGACTAATTGCATAAGTGCTGTGAGATTGTTCGTTAGTCGTTCTGTGAGATTAACCATTTTATATGTGTTTCATTTGTTGTCAATCAGAATATTAAGCTCTGTTTTCATTGAGTTACATACTGATCCTGTACGTGTGGAAAGAGCTATTTATCCACATTGAAACTGATATGGATTTCAAATTTTTAGAGAAGAATTTGCTGACTATTTTAAGCTTTAAACAAGTAATTGACATAATATGGTGTCTAGAAAGTTCTAGGTTTAGAAATGAAAATCAAAGACTATTTGTTTTGGTTGATCCAGCAGACCAATTGTTATTGTTGTTTGTTGTTTGCTGTACAAGAGTCATTGTGATTGTTGCTTTTGATCTCTGTTTGCTGCTTTATTATTTTCCCTTGGATTTATTTATCATCTATGTAATTCAACCAACCACATCTTCAATTTTGTATTCTGCATAATTGTAACAAGTACATGACCTTATCTGTTGACAGTTGTTGAAGCTTGGTCAAAGTATGTAAAGGAACATGTTTGGAGTTCATTGATGTTAATAAAGCATAATGCATTTCATGATGTGAAACACAACCTACCACTAGGCCTACCCCTGGGGGTTCTACAATGCAACATAAACTTCTATATCTCGGGAAATTTCATAGACCTGAAGATAGGTGTCATGCTGGTTTCATGAACTTAATGACATTAAGCTTATGGGGTGGTAGCATGTACAATGGCTTGTGCGTCAATATTTGATCTGTACTTCGCATCCTTTTTAGGCTATGTTGTGCCAGATTGAAGAACTTGAGACTGTAGATACTAGGAACAATGATGACAGAAACTCACAATCTCGATTGCAGGAAATGAAAATTTGAACACGGGATAAGAATATAAGATGGAATAACCATCTATTCTGACACTAGACTTTTTTTTTTTTTTGTAAGGGTGTCCGGGCCAAAGCCCGACTAATCCCCGGCAAATTTGGAGGCTAAACATGGCCCCACTTAAATGTCGCCAACACTCCTCTCCCAGGGTTCGAACTCGGGTTCATGACTATGCCATGCCCAAGCCTTTACCACTATTCTGACACTAGACTTACTAGTTGAGTAAAGATATTTTTTTTATAGACATTGAGGTGTAAGTTTCTAGTGCCATTGACTTGATAATTTCAAGCAAGATGCCCTCTTTAAAGATGAAGGATGGCTACCACTTCAGACAATTGCATTGTTATTGTTAGTTCTACATTCATTGACTATCGGCATAAAACCTAAAAGTATTAGTAGTGTCATTGAAAGCATAGACTATCTGCATAAAACCTAAAAGTTCCTATTTTCAACATTCAATGATCTGTATAACTGTATTCCTAGTGTCATTACTTGCCTATTCTTCAACATCTCTCTCCTGACATTGTAATTATTTTCATGTTACTTATTAATTTTATCTAAACTCATATAGCTTCATTTGTTCAGTAGCTACTTATAATGGCATTTCTCCAACTGCGGATGAAAATGCTGTGTGTGGCTGCTATTGCTGATTTGGTAGCGAGCTGAGCTAGAGCAATAATTGTAATGACTCTTGTAAGATGGTTTCGGGAGGGGTAGAGAAGGTAAGCAATCGAGGAACTGAGACGTCAGAGCCTAATTTTGTGCCACAGCACCTTTTGAGATACGGGGCACATGAAGGAATAATTTTTTGAGCTGCATGGCTTCATCAAGCCGGTGGATCTCAGTGAGTGTGTCTGCTGTATATCATAGAACACCACCTCTTTGACAAGCAAGGGCCCCTAGGACAATAAGATGAACTTTTGACTTCATTTGCCATATCAATATAGAGCACCCTCCGTTTCAACAAAATATAATAAACTAGAGCACAGCAGGGGATGGAAGTGAGGTTGAGAAACGAGTTAAATTTCCGTGGAGATGCAGCAACAACAATATTAAGATGGATCCATTTAGGAAACCCCTCATGGGACATTGGTGTCGATCCTCTCTTGGCCCATCATTGTAAGGTGCATCACCTTTTGGGGGTAATGGCCTATGAGCTTTAGTTGAATTTATTTCCTAGACTTATAGTTTGTAGTGGGGCTAATACCTATTTCACATGCTAGGTTTCATAAAGACAGCTAAGATAAGTCGAATATTGTTGCTAGAGCATGAAGTAATGCGGATTGTGGGGATGATAGGTCGAATACATATCAATGTAGAGACAATGTTCATGCAGATCCAAGTAATATTCTTTTAGTTTTGAACAATGCATACTTGAAATAGAAGAATATTGGTTGTGGGTTTCAGTACATATTAGTGCCTCTCATCTTTATGGCTGTTGTACTTTATTTTTATTTCCAAGCAATTGAGTAATATGAAGAAGTAGTTTACTACATATGTAAGATGCCTTTGACAATCAAGTACTGTTGCCAATTCCCTTTGCATACCAGAAATAGAAGAATTATTGGTTGTGGACTTCAGTACAATTGTCACCTCTCATCTTTATTAGATATTGTGGTTTTAATATTTTAATTTCCAAGCAATCGAGTAATATGATAAAATAAGTAATAATTATGTATGAATGATGTTTGTGACAATCACATATTTGTTGCCTGTTTCCTTCCCATTTCTTTGTTCATTCATGAAGTACTGGAAAAGGACATGTAACTCCCGTATAATTAACTAATGTCCTTAAAAGGTATCACCATCATATCTATGCTGCTTTTACTGATCACTACCAATGCAGTTGCAGTTATCCATTTCTACTTTATGGTTGTCTTGGTCTGGTAGTATGCTACAAAGTAACCTGCAAAGGCTTAGGCTTGGATGACTAACACCTGTATTTCCAACGAATTGTTGGGGATCATTTTCCTAGTACAGCAACTTTCAGCTATTGCTCTTCTTTTGTTAAATAATGTTCTATTTTCTTAAGTAACAAACTGACTATCATTCATAATCTGTAAGCATTTCACCAATTTTCTTGTTTCTGTTTATGTGTTTATAGGTTGATCATGATGTCCCTCAAATTTCTCAAGTATGTTGTGCCAATGCACCCATACCACCAACATCTTGATAGCGTTCTTCTTCAAGGTTGTTTATGATTGCTCCCATCCCTGTAGAGGCAGCAAATGCTTGTTTGTTTGGTTTCAGAATGTCCATTTTATGATTAAACAGGTTAGTTGTTGTCATTAGTCTACTTGTTTTCTTTTCCTTTATGGAAGCTACTTCGGTTGATATATTTATGATTATTAGTAGTTGCTCTGTACTGCCATTGATGTGAGATATCTATGCTTTATTTGCCATTTTCTATGGTTTATGCTGCTGGGTTCCATCTAAAGTTACCACTAATTCTCTGGGATTCCAATTATGCATAGTGATGATGCACATTTTCATGTCAATTCTTTGCTTTACTGAATCTTAAAATCCCTTTAATTGCACATTATCCTTTAGCAGGAATATCAGCCCTTCATTACCTCTAGTTTGGTCCCCCATGTTCTTCTCTGGAGGTTTTTTTTGAAGTCCAGGGAATGTGAATATGAGATAGCTTGAAAGTTACAGTTAATTTTGGACATCAACCTCCCTGCATGAGTTCGTGGTTTTGACCTTTTGGGAGTAATAATTATCTACATCTACTACAAATTCTAAAATATATGGACTAGCCTGATAGCGACAACACAGGGAATTGGATTAGAGTGTTTTTTAGTTTTTGAACTCTGTCTAGTTGAAAATATAAGCTAGACACATTCTTTCATGATGCTCTAATTCATTCTTCCTTCTTTGGGACATTGACATCCTTGTTATGAATATAGGAACTGTTGTGGAAGACTAAAATAGTTTAAATTGGTAAATTTTTAGATAATTTTTTTATCTAAAAGCTTTTAATTCTTAAAGGTGTACTACAGATTATTTATGCAGTAATCGTGTATAGTCTTTTGGAGGGTAATCTAGTGTTGTGTGTGAGGTACACCTTTTCTTGGGATCCAAATCTGAACCATATAGGAAAATCTGTTGGTCATACACTTACATGATGAGCATGCAATATGCATGGATTTGCATGTATCATTTATCAATCAAATGACCAAATTATCCCCATGCAATTAGCTTTCTCAGCATGCTTGTCATTGTTTTTGGGCTCTGCTGTCTGCTGTGGAGCTATCCCGATGACTGAAGAGAAGAACTACTACATTGATAAAAAGCAACCCACTAGGATTTAGTCAGAAAGGAAGAAGAGTGCGTTTATGACTACCTACTAGCGTTTTCTATTTAGTCAAGGACTCGAGTAATGATACAACAATTGCTAGTCCAGAAAACACCAAGAACATTAACCAGAAAGCAAGGAGAAAAGATGTACATTAGATGTCGCTATCTACAAGACTACAATACTAAAATTATTTAATTACATTTTTCCCTAATTAGATGTTCAGCCAATCCAATCCATGTATATAGTTGTTTTCTGGCAAGCAAAATACATTCTCCAATCCTTCCATCCCAAACCCCCCAAGAAAAGGTGGCTCCATAGCCTCCATAGAGAAGGATGAACTCGGGCTTGTGCTCGATATTCCATCCGACCGCTCCACTAGCCTGTTTATCTCCTTTTCAGCTTCTGAGAGTTGTTCCTTCAGCTTTAGAACCTGTACAGATCGGTGATTAACCTTAAAGCAACCGTAGAAAGAGATTTTACAACATTCGTGCGAGATTAATTGGAGATTACTTCTAAATATAACAGTATCTAAGTTTAATCTAATCCGTTTTAGATCTTTAAAAATTGATGTAATAAGGCCCACGTGGTGAGATGTCATGTGCTACTCCACCAACAGTACTGTAGAACAACCCTGTCAACCTTAAAAAACTATGGACAGACACTTGTGATTATAGCACCCTTTTGCTGGACCAATGGGACATCAACCTCTTTATTCTTGTTAAAATTATATTGGTGTTTCCTGTTACACCTGTTGCTTCCAATTAGTTTCAAACCTGAAAAGATGGCATTACTTTTTCTCGAGCCTTGAGTCCATGCATTTCCAAATTAGGGTTGCTTATTTTTACCTTAAAGTGGATAAAAGTCTCCCTTGGGTGTACAGGAACAAGAATGTAAAAAAAAGTAATTACTGTGATGTTAATGTACTTCATAAAACAGTAAATGAGAATCAACTTCCAAGTAACTAAGCACAATATTTTTCATTTCAGCATACATAAAAATGCCAAAGTTAATACAAGCTTCATATGGAGCATTTTTTACAATAAAAAACTGGGGTTCTTATAAATCACTTTCTTCCTTCGAGGTTCATATTCTATTTTTATTTTCTCAATGGCTTAAAACTCAAATTTGTCATGTCCAAAGACCTCCCTTTTGCTTTTAGTTACTTTCATAGGTTGCATACCTTTGGAAAGTAAATGAAATACAAACCCACGGAACTTAAAAATATCAGCTGTAACTTGAAAAAAGTTTCTAAAAATATCAACATTCCATAAGCACTTTGAATTATAAAAAATCTTGGTACTAAGGAAGCAAGTTATATATAGTCTTACGGATATCCAAATTTATATCACTATCGCTAGAAAAAAAAACCACCCAGGATTTCTCCAGATTATTTTTAGTATGCAAGCTCTTTGCATCAAAGAAAGAGCGGTACCTCAGTTTCGAGGCGGCATTTTTCAAGAACAGTGGAGTCATGTTCACTCTTGAGCTTGGAGTATTCCTCTTCCAGCTTCTTACTCTTCCAGCGAGCCCGCCTGTTCTGAAACCAAACAGCAACTTGGCGCGGGTCAAGCCCGAGCTCGGAGGCAAGCCGATCCTTTCTTTCTGATTCCAGTTTATGTTCATTTCCAAAGTTTTGCTCAAGGAGGTTCACTTGCTCATCACTGAGCTTCCTTTTTTTCATCCCGCTACTGCCACCGTCTGTTTTGCTCTTCTTCCGTCTTCTTCGTGGTTTCACAACTTCTCCTAAACATAATTAAAAATTACAATCAAACACCAAAGTTTACAAATGCATAAACATGTATACTTTGTAAGGAAAAAAATTAAGACCTTGTTCTGGCATCAGTTGGTCATATATCCCAGGATAATACTGGGAGAGGAGAACCATTTGATCATCAGCCTGAGTTTTCATATTGGTTGTCATCTCTCTCTCTCTATCTGCGTGTCTCTCAACACTTGGCAGAGGTGGTCTTCTTTGGTGAAACAAGTGGATGTCTTAGGGTGGATACATCAAGGGAGACTTTATTTATAAAGGTGGAGTGAAGACTAAGGAGTCTGCTGTTACTTTGGGTTGTGCAGAGTGTGCCTTTATTTATAAACTTGTAATGTCCATATTGACCTTGTTATTTTTTAAATTTACTTTTCTGCCCTTCATGAATTTTGGATCATGTTGTCTATGCAAAACTACGGAAGTGACGTGGGTCTGTCTATTTTTGGGGTATGAGATTGAAAAAAACACCTGTATCAACCTTTTGTCTAATTTGGTGAGAGGCGACTTGATTTACACAGGTAGAAATAGAATGTATAACTTATGATGTGTCTCAAGCACTTTATTTTTGGAGTTTTTTATTCGTGTCAAGATCATTTACCCTTCACAAAATAATGATATTACTTGGGTCGACCGCGGGACCAATAGAATTTGTGCGATACGGATAAGAGGCACATTTTTAGTCCATCAGTGAAAACTCGATGCCATTTGCTTTGATCTTTGAAGCTGTCCACACATGTTTTCATTCCCATATATATATATATATATGTATGTATGTATGTATGCATGTATGTATGTGTTCATATCATATTTTTTCCAATGGTTATCCAAGAAATTTGGAAAAAGTCATGTCTGAAAGAAACTAGACCTATGTCAAAATGAAAACGCCCAATAATGTAATAGTGGAACTAAAGATATCAAATACTGGGCGATGCAACATATTCCCACTATTTTTTCTGTTGCACCTTGAATAATTGAGGAGGATTTGTTTGTTTTGTTGAAAGGTTTGTAAGTTAAGATTAGATGATTTTGATGGCTATTATTATGATCCTACAAATTAAAATGTGACGATGAAACATCGGCTAATATCTTTTAACATATTTTTTGATTGGAATCTTATCCATAATACCAACTTGTGGCGTGTTATCAAGGCTTTTGCTTTCCCTCTTTTTACCAGAACAACAAAACCATCAGGGGAAGTTATAGAGAGATTGGCTTTCCTGATTTGGTAAACAATTAGAGAGGAGATGAAGATCATGTTGTAGGTGTGAAAGAAAAATCACAAAGAAGGCTATAGGAATATGATGTGGGCAGGGGTTGGGATCCCAAACCTGACCACCTTGAAGTTAGTAAACAAAGACATTTCACTATTATTTATTATTTTTAATATTTTATTTTGGATGGGTTAGAGGGCCTTTGGATTCGGACAAACCCTGCCATTGGGTGGTATTTATTCCCATTCTGTGGGTGCTTAGCCGAGCCACTCCTCAAAAACACCTCCAAAGCTTTTGGCTTCTCGGCTGTCACTACCTTGGCTTTAGACCACTAACTGTAGTTCATACGTGGCTAAAAATGACTTGCAGGAAAAATTTAGCACCTTAAATTAAAACATAGTATTGGTTATGAGTTTTTATGACAGATACTATTACATCACATGTGGAAGTGGCCCTATGTTTAAGCTTGAAATCTGTATGTAAATATTGAATTATAGCGATATACTTGTAATTAAAGCAATAAAAAGTTGTATCTTACTTTGGATTTGATCATTTCAACTATGGGAATATTTAGTCATAGAGTTGTGTTAGTATTTGTGGCAACTTAGGGGCTGTCTATCTAAATGCTTACCCAGTAATTGCTCATTTTTAGGAGTCAACACTATAATTTATTTTACTGGGTAAGGTTGTAGTACATCAAAACGTATTCCATGCAGCAATTTTCCTGGTAAGCGCTTACCTGAGTAAGAGTCGTCACCCACACTTACCTGATAAAACTCTCCATCCTTATCCTCATTCTTACTAGGTAAGATTCTTGGCCCTTGTCATGTTCATCCGGTAAGTGTTTAGTAAACGGCCCCTTAGAATGCCTATGTACAGAGTTATATGTATGTGAAGTTGTATGCTATAAGCCTATAACTACATATTATAAATATCCTTTGGGTGTATAAGAGGACAAGTTATTTAATGTCACATGTGTAGTTACTACTAGTGAATGAAAGATATTAACTTTTTACTTCAATTTTTATTTTCAATCGTAAATTCATTTCGAGTGGTATTTTTCCAACCAACTAATTTGTCGGTTGGATGTGATAAGTTTTTGCGAGAATATCGTATTGTCTTTTCTCAAACCACGCATAAGAATTAATTCTCATATAAAATCTTCTACTTCTTTTCTTAGTTTGCATATCATCCACCACCGATCTAGGAGCTTTTGACAAGCATTACTCTTTATGAACTCTTGAGTGCCATTGTATCTTGAGCACAAAACAAGATGTAACTGACTGGGATCTAAGTCAAGTGGTAATACGTGGAAGGCTTTTGGTCACTTCCTCCAGGAATTTTCGTACATGGATAAGAAAACCTTCCCTACAATGTCTTTTCAGCTTTCTCCCTCTATTCACATGTGATCCATACTTTGAGTCAAACTAAGAGCAAACCCAAATTAATCTGACCAGTTTAGTTACAAAATGATTATGTGACCCACACTTTCTAGTCACATGAAAGCAGTAGAACATGAAGGGAGCTTATTGATTGCATTTTGGTTAGTCTTGACAGGCGATTGAGATTCGAGTGGTCAATCTCAAACGGTTTTTGATTGACCAGTCATCTGGTCTCTGCTCTCCCCTTTATTTCACAACTTAGAACATTTCGGATGCAAGTTTCTTACAAGCATAAAGTGTAAGAACCTCACTCCCTTTGAATTCTTATACAAGAACATTGGTTCTTATTTGAAGTTAGTGTGAATTGACTATTTACTAGTTATTTTATATATTTTCTAGACTTTTTTATCCTATATAATATAATTAATATGCATATATTTGTTTAACTTATATTATACATGCATGGGACCCACAATATGAGTTCTCATAACAACAATACTTTTGATGTAGGTTATTAATTTGGTGAGTTAGAAATAACATGCAAGAAAAAAAGTACAACATTGAAGATTTCAAGATACAACCTGTCCCTGTTACTTTCCTTTTTTCCTCAATTTAGTTCACTAATCATAATTTTGTTTCTCCAGATTTGCAACAAGGAGGCTGCTGGTTACGGTTTACTTGCAGTTGCCAAGATCAAAAATTCGACAGTCCTAAGGTATGTAACTTTGTAATGAAACAAAGTTTATCACGTAACGGTTGGTAATCTGTCGTTGCCATGACTTGAACATCTTTAGGATTAGATATAACGATGGTGAGCCATATTTATAATCTGTCATGTTTCATTTATGATTTCATTCTGTAGATGGTATGAAATATGAATAAATAGACCCAGAAGAATGATGCCTGAATTTTAATATTAGAAACAGTGAGGATATTTTTAAGAAAAGATACTTGGCTCAGGCTCAGGCTCAGGCTCAGGCTCAAACTCAAAGCTACCAAGCCAAGTGAGCCTGGGGTGGGTTTGGGGGTTTGGGTAAGAAGGGTAATTGGATGTGTAGTAAAGGTGATTTGAAAAAGACAGGTTTCCACGCCAAGGGAAGGGCAATGGGGGTCATACTGGCACATGCACATGGGGGGCTCCCAAAACCTAAGTAGAACTTTTACACGCGTTGTCACCCCAAAAACCTCTGATTTCTTGGACCACATTTCCTATCCATCTGCATCCTTCCACCTCTACACACACATGGACACACTCCTATTTTATCGTTAGCCGCCAATACATACAACACTCCTGTATCTATATATACATACCCCCATATGCTCTTCAATTCAGCCAATAGAGATTGGTCAAAAATTATGTAAAAGATTCTAAGACGTAACTACTTATAAATTAAACGTTTTTTATGTGGTCTGTTAAAATTTTGATTTTGGTTATTATTTTTATTTTTATAATTTTATTGTTGTTTCGGTTTTTATAGTTTATGATTCGTTACTATTTTGATTCCTTGTACTTAAAAAAGTAAGAGTTAGTCAAGGGATAAAGATGGTAATAAATTACAAACTATAAAGACGAATGAACAACAAGAACGAAAATCGAAATTATTAACAAACTACATACATGATATTCATAATTTACCCTATAAATTATAACTTCGTACCTAGTCGGCGATAATTTGTAGAACTCTAGTCGAATATAGATGATTCAATCCACCACAAGGTACAATTTTTACTGCATGTGGTACAAGCTATTACAACAATATTGTAATAAGTTTTATACTTTGTTTCCACAAGAAAAACAATCAAAATACATATAATTAATGATCTTTATTCATGATATTTCCTGCCTTCAAGGGTTGTCTTAGAAACTTTGTATTCTAATTTTTACACACTTGATGTATATATATTCTTATTCTTTTATGACGCAATAATTCGTTCAGACCAGTTTTCATGTGTTATTTCATATGTACAACAACATGCATGAAAATATAGTGTTTGTTCATATGTGAAACATTCATAACTGTTTTATATATTAAACAACACTATATATATACTGTATTTTCACATTTGTTGTCTTGTATATGAACATGAAAACTGATTCGTAAATTTGTATGATTGCAAATGATTATTCCGTGTATATATATATATATATATATATATATATATATATATATATATATATATATATATATATATATATATCCATATTGTAGTCCTTAATCCATTTGATCATATCGGTTACTATACCAAGGGGTGAAAGTAGCGATGGTTATAAAAATGGGAGATGCTTTTTAGGGACAAAAAATTAAAGACAGAATAGAAAAAAACGTTTAAATCGTAGTACAATTTTGGATGGGTTAGTTAATCACGTATGTGGCCTTTAAATTGTAAGATATGATCCTGCTACCATGTTCACGAACCTTATCTCATCATCATATATATCATATATGCATAGGTGTAACCTTTTCCTATGTGAACCAATTCCTTCGAGAATTTGGTTTTCTCTTAGTTCTTTTTCTGGGTTCCAACCATACTTCCGTATCAGACTTGTTCATTTTTTTATGTAGCAAAATAGCAAATGCATGCATATATCAGCATTTACTTACATTGGGATTAAATATATAGATCTAAATTTCCATTGTAGTAGTTTTGTAAAGTTTCCTTTGTAGATTTTTACCCA